CAATTTGGTTGGTGGTATAAATAAATAAATAAATTAATTAATTAATTAAAAAAAAGGCTCTCACATGGCTTTTTATTATGTCTATCGACAAACAACTCAACCGCTTGGGGCTTACACATGTTTGATGACTCTCTCCCCACCCCCATGTGACAGGGGTCAGTCAACAAGCACCAGAGATGTCCTGCTAGAGCAGTGCGGGTCAACTTACTTAATACATGGGGCCCCAAATGCAGCCCTTGACATCACCAAAGGGCACATCATTTTTAGTGAATATAATACAGGACTGAGATTGAGCTCTGCAGTTACTTTTGCAGCAGTTGTTTTCTTATTCCAGGTCACAATCCTGCGCAATGTCCTTATGTCTCTTTCGGTCAGTTGACCATGTCCACTGCATGAATACTTATTAGACGACGTTTTCTCAGAAACTGTATACGCCGTCATAACCTTTGATACTATACCTCGGCAAATAAATTGGCAACTTCAGCCACAGAGGTCCAGCCCAGCGGCACCAACAATTTGCCCTCTTTGAAGCTCAGTAAGCTCTGACATGACTCCCAATTAATAGCAGCATACTCAATGAATGAAGTAGGCTTCCCACCTGTTAGCTAGGTGTCTCATCACACAGCGGGAGCAAAAGAATGTTACATCACTTCTGCTTTCAATGCCAAACATGTCATCACTTTCACACCTGCAAATCATGTAGTCTCTCCATTTTATGTCTAACCCCTTCATATATACATGTATATATATATATATATATATACTGTATATATATATATATATATATATATATATATATATATATATATATTTAGCAGAGAATACTGAAGCACAGCGTACAGATGAAAATCTAAACAGCGAAAGTTCAATCTGATCCAAACCTTGATCTCATCACTAATAATGGAGATTACGAGAGGAGGACATGTTTGAAATCTAGCCTAGGTGACAACCATGGCTCCCTCTATAGATACAGTGAAGTGAGTGTAGCCACCCTGATGGAAAGTGTGTTACTAGCAGGATCACCAGGTGAAAATAAAGTAATATTACGTTTTTGGTTTTGGGACACTATGCTGTCCTACTAAGTTAGTTAACAAAACTGACAGAAGCATCGTTGTGTTTCATTCCAAAATTGAATTTACTTCTCCGAATAGTTCTATAAAACTGCAATACAATCACATAAACTGAAATTAGAATATGCCTGTATTCATGTCTCTCACAAATGCATACAATGAAAATATTCCTTGCAAACAGCTACTTACAAATCACAAAGAATACATTTAAATGTTATCTAGCTTTTATTTGACTTTAACAGAGGAGGGGAGGAGACCCAGATTTGTGCGACTGAAGGAAATTGGCAAATCTCCTGGCAGGAGGACGGGCATGGTGACCAAGGACAACCGTTTAATGGGACAGAGCCTGTGCAGTCGGTTGGAAGAACTGAAGGACTGAAGGAAGGTGCTGGAGTTGGAAGATGGACTGAAGGAAGGTGCTGGAGTGTGGAACCTGGGAGGGGGCCCCAGAGAGGAGAGCCTACCTACAGGCTGGTGGACAGAAGGATCTCTACTACCTCACATGTCTCCTAGGGAGGACATCCTGTCAGCAGGGAAGGAGCCAGCCCAGCGTAAGTCCTGAAAGCAGCTACAATCCAGCAAGCTAACAGGACATGACAGTGTGAGTACTTCTACACCCCCTGGGCCACAGAAGAGAGAGGACAGTCAGGTGCAAGACCCAACTAGTTCTCGTCCGGGACTATGAATTACTAACATAATAAATAGTGTGTGACAAAAATGCTATAAGCGGTCCAAATGCATAAAGTGAATAAACATGAGTCCCAAATCCAGTGACAAAGTGCTGTGTGTTGAAAAATCTTCTAACAAAAGTGTATTGGTGTCCACAAGTGCTTGCACAACAGACAAATCAGCCTATTACCAGATCCATTGATCTCCAATCAAGAGATCAAACGAACTGATGATGTTCAGATCCCACACTGACACCCATGCTAGCAGTATCAAAGGAAATGAATGAACGACTGCAGGTTCACCTTGATGGATTCCTCACACCAAACGGCTCTCCAAACCATGCAAGGAAGGGTTTAAAACAAAAGAAGAAACTTCATAGTGCAACGCGATAAACTCATAAAAAATATATTAAAGTATTGCACTTACATAGATAAGGTCAGGGGCGGACTGACCATTTGGAAACTCGGGCACCGCCCGAGGGCCCCGGGGTCAGTAGGGGGCCCCCATGAGATGCCCCTGGTACCTTTTTCATAGGCTTTTTTGAGTTTGGGCAAGGACACAGGGGCCCAATGATCCCCTATTGCCCGGGGGCCCCATGAGTTGTCAGTCCGCCCCTGGATAACGTACATAAAGGCAGTATACAGATTTAAAATTCCCGCAGTGTCAGACCACTGAATGGAATGTGGTGACATCACAGAAAGCTCTGTCCGACGCGTTTCTCCAAAACTGGTGTCCTCTGGGATTGGAGATCAAAATGTGCATACAATCCGTATTTCACACATTGATGGCTATCTTCATCTGGGTGCTCTTTAGGGAGTATTTCTGTCCTCGCCATGAAGACCAGGTCATGCCAATGGCGTATTGCTCATTGTGGCCCCCCAGGTATAAACCGTTCAGGTTGGTGCTGTGGCAAGCATTGTACCAGGATCCCGCCTTGAACATACTGGCACAGTTTCCAGAATGCAGATCCCTGTCGTGATCGTGGGTGGAGAAATTTGTGTCTTTTTGGTTCCAGAGAGAATTTCCTGATCAAAAGGAAAAAACATTTAGCTTCCTGGAGATTTCTGCCACCTAAGTACAGTATTTGCCAGATGTGTGACCAATTATTAGAGAAGAGAATACATCTGGCACAAAGTTTCAGCAGCGGGACATGGACATCACTACCAACCTAGACTTGGTACACAGTATACTAGTGTTAGACAAAAGGATCTAACCCCAGATAAAGGGGGAAATGGCAAAGTTGGGACATATGGTAGGGTAGGTGGTGAGAGTACAGATCCTATTGACCTGCTGCAATGTCTAATGAAGGATTATCAATAGATCAAGGTGATCACATCAGAAAAAAAAACTTACCCCCTCTCCCTACCTAATCATTTATCCATCCTCCCCCCTCCTACATAATCATTTATCCATCTTTCCTCCTCCTACCTATCATTTATCCCTCATACCTAATCATTTATCCATCCTCCCCCCTCCTACATAATCATTTATCCATCTTTCCTCCTCCTACCTATCATTTTATCCCTCATACCTAATCATTTATCCATCCTTCCCCCTCCTCCTACCTAATAAATTAAGTCATCCTCCCCCCTCCTACCTAATCATTTATCCATCTTCCCCCCTCCTACCTAATCAATTATCCATCCTCCCCCCTCCTACCTAATCATTTATCCATCTTCCCCCCTCCTACCTAATCATTTAGCTATCCTTCCCCCTCCTACCTAATAAATTGTCCATCCTCCCCCCTCCTACCTAATCATTTGTCCATCTTCCCCCCTCCTACCTAATCATTTATCCATCCTCCCCCCTCCTACCTATCATTTATCCATCCTCCCCCCTCCTACCTATCATTTATCCATCCTCCCCCCTCCTACCTAATCATTTATCCATCCTTCCCCCTCCTACCTAATCAAATTATCCATCCTCCCCCCTCCTACCTAATCATTAATCATTTGGTCCATCCTCCCCCCCTCCTACCTATCATTTATCCATCCTCCCCCCTCCTACCTAATCATTTATCCCTCGTACCTAATCATTTATCCATCCTTCCCCCTCCTACTAATAAATTATCCATCCTCCCCCCCCCTCCTATCTAATCATTTATCCCTCATACTAATCATTTATCCATCCTTCCCCCTCCTACCTAATAAATTTTCCATCCTCCCCCCTCCTACCTAATCATTTATCCATCTTCCCCCCTCCTACCTAATCATTTATCCATCCTCCCCCCTCCTACCTATCATTTATCCATCCTTCCCCCCTCCTACCTAATCATTTATCCCTCGTACCTAATCATTTATCCATCCTTCCCCCTCCTACCTAATAAATTATCCATCCTCCCCCCTCCTACCTAATCATTTATCCATCTTCCCCCTCTCCTACCTAATCATTTATCCATCCTCCCCCCTCCTACCTAATCATTTATCCATCCCTCCCCCTCCTACCTAATCATTTATCCATCCTTCCCCCTCCTACCTAATCATTTATCCATCCTTCCCCCTCCTACCTAATCATTTAACCATCCTTTCACGTAGGCATCTCTACATTAATACATGGTATACATGATACATAGTATCTACCGTGCTGTCTATTCATCCACAAACGTAACTAAAAATCCATTTTCAAACCACTCATTTTATTTCCCTTCCTTACTACCATCCATTTTCTTTCCATCCATTCTTTTGCCTATTTGTCCATCTTCATCCTTTCAGTAATTTTCACCCACTTATTATTTCCATCTGTCCATTTCATCTATCTATCTATTATCTATCTATCTCTATCTCTCTATCTATCTATCCATCCATTTTTTCCATCCATGTCATCCATTCATCCATTTTTTCCATCCATGCCATCCATCCATCCATTTTTTCCATTTCCATACATGTTTGTTTATCCCTATATCTTTCTATCCATATGTCAATTTTCCATCCACCTTTCCATTCATTTATGCATCCATTCATCTACATTATTTTCTTTACATCAATCCATTCCATTCCATCCATCCATTTTCTTTCCAACCATTCCTCTCATCATCCATCCATTCATTTTCCATCCATTCATTCTTTCTATCATTTTGTGAATTTTCCATTCATATATTCATTCACCCCTATCTCTTTCTATCCATCTGTCCTTCCGTCCATCCATCAATCCATCCTTACATCCATCCTTCCCATTATCAATGCATCCATCCATCTACAATATTTTCTTTCAATCCACCCATCCCTTCATTCCTTTGTCCCTCTCTCCATCCATAGTAAACATCTATCCATACTCCTGCTTTGATTCCTCACCAGCTGGCCTGGATGGATCTCCTTCCTCAAACTCATCAATATACAGTTTGTAGTTGTCTTCCTCAGCTGAGATGGCGAGCGGCGAGAGGGCAAATTTATTGTAGATCACAAAACGGGAGTCATTGTCAAAATCTGTGAGGTCGATGCGCAGGCGGTAGGACCTCTGCAGGGTGAGGTGGTAGATGTTCTCCAGACCTGTGATATAAAATATATACATAGAACCTGCACCAATCCACTGCTGTTGATTTGCATCAATCATTTACCTTCTCAAATAAAACCCTGATGAAGGGGAGGTATTAAAACCCAAAGCTTTTTTGAATGAGAACCAATATTGCATCACTTTCTGAATAAAGTTTTGGCTCTCCAGATGAGTACAGCACTTATTGTAGTGACAGCATGCAGCTGCTTCACCGAACGGGGGGGGGGGGGGTCACTAGCTTGGCATTCATAGAATGACTTTTATTTCTTTTCAATGAATACAACGCAATTGGATGAGGTGGAGATCATGACTGCCCCTCCTTTCAACCTTGTCCAATCAGGGAAAACATTGTAGTAATTAAAAAAAATACCAGCCATTCTAAGAATAGTGGCAGTGCCAAGAAAGCGACCCCCTGTGGTCAGTGTGCAGGTGGGGCAGCCACTCTCATAGAACCTGAGCAGGACCTGGGAGAGCACAGCTATCTCTGTAGTAATGTTGACTGCTGCAGTGATTGTCAGCTTGCCCAGCAGCCCCTCAGGTATGAGATATGCAGACTTACATCGTGCCAAGCTGGACCAACGTTGGCATATAATTGCAATACAGATAACTCAGATACAGATATATTTAACTCGCTTTAAATATATTATTTGCTCTATCTGTCCAAGAAGAGCAAAAAAAAGTTAACGATCCTGCCAGAAATCTAGTATACTGATAACAACTGGTACTGCGCTATTAGTAGCATTGTTACCAGCTATCTCTGAGAAGGACCCCCCTCCGCCACCACCTCTATGTTATGGATAAGAGGAGACAGATACTGTATCTCTGAGATCTACAGGACCTACCACCTCTATGTTATGGATAAGAGGAGACAGATAGGTCCCATGGTGACAACTCTGCTCCTTCACAGAGGTGAGTGAGCGTTGTCACCCTAGGACAGGAAGTGTGTTACTGGCAGGATCACCAGGGAATATCCTGAAAAACAGAAAATGAATGTAGCTACCACCGTGATGCTGCAATATACTGTATTACCATCTTGTCCTTGGGTTTAGATACAGTTGTAGTGGAAATTCATCCAATAAAAAAAAACTTGGAATCGGAATTTATCTTTTCCCATTTTTTTTCATTGTGCTAGTCTCCACCTTTTTTTTGTGTGTATAGAGGAACCATCTAATAATACTGGTGTAAAATGAAAGCCTTACCCAACCAATATTCTTTGTCGGCATGTCCAAATCCAGACTTGTAGTCTTCCCAGCCTCGAAAAAAATTCTCACTTCCATCAAACCTTTTCTGAAATACCTGGAGAAGAGGCGTCCAAATATTGGATTGTTTTTTGAACTGCTGATCAGTAGGGATGAGCTTTGGGTTTTGGTCAAACATGAGTTAGACCTAGGGTTGCCACATCATCCCTTCAAACCCGAACACATATTAATTACACGGGTTCTGTGGCTGCATAAGGTGATAATTAAATTTATTTAGTGCCTTATCTGAATGAAATCAGCCTCAGAACCCGTGTAATTAATATGTGTTCGGGTTTAAAGGGAGGAGGTGGCAACCCTAATTAGACTTGAACCCAAACCGCTTGTGCCTGGAGAAAAAAGGTCTACTAATGAGAATGGTCATGTCTAAAGCAGCCAATAGCCAGAGATGCACTTCCTGACCTCTGAAGTGTGGTCAGGTGGCATGGAGTGCCCAATCATGGAATTTTTCTTATATTCCAGCCACCCCCTATAAAAGCCAAGGGACTCCCAGCAGTCTTTAGTTGGTGAGTGTTGGAGGAGACATGGAGCAGTTAGGGAGAGATCACAAAGTATTTGCAGAGAGAAATAGTTGACTTGCTGTCCTAAAAACTGCTATATGTTCAGTGGGTCACATACACTAGGAGGACTTTTTAAAACATTTTTGCAAAACCATTTATCAAGCAAATTTTCAGGTACATTTATTCTGTGTGAATTGGGCAAAAAACGAAAACTCTTCAGGCTATTTGCTTTTCTGAAAGAATGTTTCTTTATTACGGCCAGAAATAAAATACCGTATTTTAGCCACTAGATGTAGCTGAGGAGCATAGGAAATACATCTTTATAACCAGAGATACATTGTGACAACTCCAGAGAACACTAGAGGAAATTAGCAGACAATTGTAATTATTGGTTATATGTGCTTGCTCATTCCCTCTAGTGTTCTCTAGAATTGTTCTGCTGTAGCTCTTGTTACAAAGACATATGTATGTACCCAGCACTGTATATTGAAAGGGGGACTCTGATGGGGGGGAGCGAGGCTGAGTCACACATTGTTCTGCTGGAAAGTATTATACCCAGCACTGTATATTGAAAGGGGGACTCTGACGGGGGGGAGCGAGGCTGAGCCACACATTGTTCTGCTGGAAAGTATTATACCCAGCACTGTATATTGAAAGGGGGACTCCGATGTTGGGGAACGGGGCTGAGCCACACATTGTTCTGCTGGAAAGTGCTATACCCAGCACTGTATATTGTCCAATCACTGTGAATTGCAGTGTGGTGGGCTACATACTGTGTATGTGTTAGTTTGCAGCACATCTCCGCATGCTTGTGTGGTCCAGTTTAGTCCATCATTTTAATGCCACAACACAAGTCGTATACTGAGACATACACTGTACTGACCATGCCTCCATAACAGAATGCAAGGATGCAATGCCCACCACGTTTTTCCTTTTCATACCTTCATTGTATTGCTTCTATTTTCAAATGTTGGTCACTATGCAGGAGAAGGCGTTTCTGAGTCAAACATATCAATATGCTAAGTTCACTATTTTCACATAAACATAAATAGTTTTAATGAATGGGGGGGGGGGTAAAAAATTATATTCCCAAGTGCCAGATCTGCTAGGTACCCCCCTGGAGGAGGGTAGTGGGCTGGGGCGGACTGACCATTTGGAAACTCAGTCACTGCCCGAGGGCCCGGGGTCAGTAGGGGGCCCCTGGTACCTTTTTCTTGGGCTTTTTTGAGTTTGGGCAAGGACCCCGGGGCCCCATGATCCCCTATTGCCCGGGGGCCCCATGAGTTGTCAGTCCGCCCCTGGTAGTGGGATAAGTGCACTCTGGATCTCAATATATTGTATCACTTACTGTCCATGGTCCCTTCGCAGTGGTCATATCGCAGTAGACTGGGACTGGAACTGAATAATATCCTTTGGGATATATCAAATATACTCCATCCGAGGTCATACCACTCCCATACACATCCTTGCAGTCCAGAGGGTAGTTGACTGGAAGGACAAAATACAGGGTAAGAGTTATGTTTCCTTAAAGCTGATATTTTTTGCACCATTACATTGGTCCAGCTTGGACCGATATGAGTATGTATGTGCCATACCTGTGGAAGCTGGAAATCACTATAGTAGTCACATTTTTGTCAATAAATGCAAAGCACTTTCTGATATGGCGATGTGGAGATTGTCTCACCTCTCTACCATGGCACCTGTGCTGAGCAAGCAAACCTCCATAATCACAGCAATGGGGGTCACTTAGTATGGGACCCAGCGATCACTGTAGTAGTGGTGACTACTACAGGAATTCTCCGCTTACACAGTGGTCCCACAGGTATGGTATATGCTTATTCACATTGGTCCAAGCTGGACCAATGTAATTATGCAAAAAAATTCACACCTGGAATGCAGCTTTAAGGTGTGCAACCTTAAACTTTTTATGTCACATTGTGGTGGAGAGGACCAGGGATCTGTTATACCCAGGCCACACGGGAAAAGCTGTTTGACCAAGGCCCAACCTCATGGAAAGGTTGCGGGAGAATTACAGCCAAGGGAGTACAGTACAGTACCTTACCCATTGGCTGACCCCTTCTTGATCCCGCTTCCAACCTCAACCAAGGAAGCTTGGTGCAGCAATTTACACCTTAGCTGACAACTTCTTTGACCAAGATCTTACTTCTAGAAAGGAGGGGGGGGGACAATCTCAGCTAAGGGAACATGGTACAGCACTGTACCCCTTGGCTGACCCCTTCTTTTGCGCCAGACCTCACTTCACAGAGATGCCCAACCTCAGTCAAGGGAGCATGGTACAGCACTTTACCCCTTGGCTGACCATTTCTTTGATGTGGACCTCACTTTGGGAAGGGGGGGTTGTTTATTCTCAGCTAATGGGTACACTACAGCACTGTACCCATTGGATGACCCCTATTTTTGAGCCAGACCTCACTTCACAGGGAGACCCTACCTCAGCCAAGTGAGCATGGTACAGCACTGTACTCCTTGATTGACCCCTATTTTTTAGAAAGACCTCACTTCAAAGGAATGCCCAACCTCAGCCAAGTGAGCATGGTACAGCACTGTACCTCTTGGCTGATCCCTTTTTTTGAGTCTGACCTCACTTCAAAAGGATGCCCAACCTCAGCCAAGTGAGCATGGTACAGTACTGTACCCCTTGGCTGACCCATATTTTTTTTAGCCAGACCTCACATCCTGGGTGGGGTCCCAACCTCAGCCAAAGGAACATGATGCAGCACTTCACTCCCTGGCTGACCATTTTGTTTACCTGGACCTTACATCACAAGGGGACCCTACCTCAGCCAAGATATGGGCAAAGCCTCAGCCAAGGAAACATGGCGCAGCACTTTTCCCTTTGTATATCCCTTTTATGAACCCAGTCATCATTTCACAGTGGGACCCAACCTCAACCAAGGTTGAACTGTACAATACATTACCCTTTGGCTAACCTCTTCTTTTACCCAGACCTCACTTCACCTGAGCTAAATTTGGACCTACAGTGGAGCTTCACTCTCTCAATCAGCATTGACTATTTTTAATCTGTATGCTGCTATTATTTGTAAATAGATAGAAAAGTATATCATATTCACTTGTTTTAAACTTTATTTTACATTTCTTCAGTTACTTCATGGTTTCCGGGCCTAGACAAGTGATGTAATACAATCCAGGAGTCTTCAGGAGGGGAAGAGGGATTTTCTCAGCTAAGCGAACCCTCCTGCCTACATGCCTGAGCTAAGGGCAGATGGATTCCAGGAAATATATGCTACATGAATCATCTACCCTTACTTAAGATGGCCATTTGCTAGTGGGTGTTTTTAAAAGTTTAAATTTACTAGAAAACACCTGTTGCAATTCCCCGAGGTGCTGAGAGGTCAGTGAACTGGCTTGTATTCCTAGCACCTGAGTAAACATGTAGATGTAAGAAAGCCTGCAGCATAAATAAATTTATTAATCTAAGTGTGGTTCAAAATAATACTGGACTGTATTATTTTGTAGCACACCTGGATTAATAAACTCATTCATTGAGGAAGATCTAGCTGCCGGCTTTCTTTCATCTATGTGTTTTTTAAAGTGATTTCTCAACAAAATAATTCATGGAGACGTGGATGGATGGATGGATGGATGGGGGAGTTTGCTTTGAATATTAAAAATGAATTAAATAACGGTTTTGGTTTGTGGCGCTCAGATGCCGTGGAGTTCCGCTTTAAGACCAAGGCTGTTAAAAAAGCTTCTGCTTTATGGAAAATTTGTACACCATTGGGAGCAAAAAAAAAGCTGTCATGATACATGGAAGATCTGTACACCGGTGTAGAATGTAATATTTTATTATTTTGATAATTAATCAGGAGAGGAAATTTTGCACTCACGCTGATTCTGGTTGAGCGGTGCTTTGCCTGCGATAACAGGAGCCAAGCAGAACAATAGGATCCAGGCCAGGTCAAAAG